CCAGGAGCGCCGGGAGGGGCCGCCGAGGCTCAGCGCAGCCTCAATAAGCGGGCAGCCTCCTATCCCAGCTCCCTGCTGGACCTGATGGCCAAGGCCACTGGACACTCCTCTCCCAGGGTGGTCCAGACAGAGCCCGGGAGGCCACCAGGGACAGGGCAGCCTGGCTTCCCACTGCCCAGCCCGCTTGGCACCTGTGCTGGTCCACCACTGGAACTGCGGGCCTGTGGAGAGGCCGAGGCAGGGACTGAGGCCCCAGGGGCGCAGATAGAGCTGCCCGCTCTCCTCTCTGGGGCCTTGTGCTGGCCTCGCAGTCGACTGATGGGACTCAGCACCTCTCTGTTGGCCTAGAAGCCCCAGGGAGGTGGGAGAGCCGGCCTGGCCTGGGTCTCCCGTCTGGCTCCCAGGTGCCCCAGCCCCACCTTGCTTCCTGGAAGAGCCTGGGGCCGAGAGGAAGGGAGGAGGCCCCCCTCCAGCTCCCTGGCACTGGGCACATGCCTCTGCTCAATCAGGAATCTTCCGTCTCCCAGCCAGGGTCCTGCTGATGTCCTGGCCCAATCTGAGGCCTAGCCAGGGAGGACGCGGGGACAGACATAGCTCCTGGAGTCACACCCCCTGCTCCCTGTTCTGCCCCTTTTGGTGCCATGCCTTGGCTCTCTGCCCAGGGCAGCTATGGGAGCAGAGGAAGCGCAAGGCCCCCGCTCCGCTGTGCTCAGAGGGTTTGCTGAGTGCAGAAAGCAAATGGGTCTGATGCACACACATCCCCCCAGCAGCAGCAGGAGCGAGCCCACCCCAGTGAGCTGGGGGCCTTGGGGTTATGTGCAAAATAGGGTGCCCCTTGGCCCCAAAAGCATTGCTGTAAGGAGGAAGTAAGATTGCCGGGAGCCAAGTGCCGGTAAACAGCTGAGCACTTGGGAGATTGAGGCAGGCTTTGCAGACGGGAAGGCCCTGCACGCGTTGCCCAAGTGTTCCTCCTGGCAGCTCGCAGGACTGCACCCCTGCCCCAGGCCCTGAGCGTCTCCCCTGCAGAACAAAGGCTGAGGGGTGGCCCTCCCCTCGCCCTCTCCTCTCCCCCACTCTCTTGCATACACACGCACTCGCACGCAAGCAGGTTCTGGCTCCACATGCCCCTCGGCGGAGAGCACAGGCATTCAGCCTCCCGGTGCCTCGCTGGCTCCTGCCGGGGCAGCTCTGTTGTGGGAGGCTGCTGGCCTGCACAGCAGGTGTGCACAGTTGAGCCTGCCACACCCCCTCTGCGCCCCAGACACACACGTGGTGACCAGAAGCTCCCTCACCGCCCACATGTGGAGCCCGAGCAGCCTGTCAGAGGTGGGGGCACGCTGACACTCCCTGCCCAGGACCCCCGGACCCACTGTGCCTGCTCTCACCTGGCCGTGCCCTCCTGGAGGGGGACGGGAAAGGAGGGTACCACTGAACAGAGGCTGGCTGGGAGGGTGGTCCCTGCTCCTCATAAGACGACGAAGGAGCAGGGGGTCACCACCCGGCACAGTCCTTCCTGCCTCGAGGGCTGTCTAGCTCAGACCTTCCTCAGACAGGCGGGGGAGCTGAGGGCCAGGGACAGCAGTTCTGGGGGCCGAGGGGAGAACAGACACAGGGCCCCGCCACAGCGTGTCCCCGCCGGGCTCGCGG